GGTGCGGCGTGCGCGACGCCGTCTTCGGGGAGAAGATTCCGGACCCCTAGACCGCAACCCCTTTGCTGTCCTTGAAGGCCACAGGTTCATCCAAGAGATCTCATTTTCAACGTGAACTGTGTCTTTAAGAGAATTTTTAGCCTTTTACGTTGCAGTTGTGATACATAAAAGTTAGCTGTCAGTTTTGTCTGTATCTCTACACCGAAGAGCTAACATCTCAAAATACATCGGCAAGAAATGAAGTCACGTAGTGAACGAAGGCTACTTAAAATAAATTCGGGTGGAAAGACACAAATAGGAAATAAACAAATTCTATGTAATCAATAAACAAACAAAATATGTGGGACACGTGGTCAAGGCACTGTGCAAGAAGTTCAGCTGAGAGAACATGGGCTAGAATGTATGGTCGAGGAAGCGTACAAACAGGAATTCACAGTTTGGTCATGGAAACTATGACACAATCGGGAATTAACCATAAATAGTCCAGGAATAAGGCACATCAATCGAGCAGTCAGCATTGAGAAACAAACAAAATAACTCTTTGTACTGTTTACATATAGTCTCCTAAAAAGTGAAGTAGGCCACGGTCATACTCAGCGAACCGCGTTCAGTGTTCACCACTCGGTAACGAAACTGGGACCAATCGACCCTACAAAAAACGGTTCTGCCCATTATTGTCCCCATGGAACGTGGGCCGCCATACGCCGAATGTGGCCGCTACCTTTCCTGATCAAATACTAATTCAAGTCGGATAACAGAAACTTCTTTACGTGGACGCTTCAAAACCTGCTCTTAGGAACCAAGAGCAACCAGCATAGGAACATTGGCAAAGAATGAGAGACCAGATGAGTGATTTTATAATGTAGCCTATTCCGATTTCTTCTTCGCCGTTCGTTTGAGCTTTTTCGGTGACTTTGATGGTCGTCGAACGAGGAATGCTCCCAACATCCAGCCAATTACTGGGCATACCTAAAAAACATATTTATTAGCCTCATAAGGTAAGAAACGAAGAAATCAAGAAGTAACAATGTTGAAGGCATTCCCCGAGGTTCACCCTAGGATGAACCTGTGGCCCCAAGGTTAGCACCTCGGGTCGAAAAACCTGTCGGGTCGAAAAACGACCTCGACAGGTCGTCATAAGCTGGTTTGGCCAAAGTACACGTCCAAAAGTGGCCAGAATGACTGCCTTGTTAAGGCTGCACCATCCACAATGAAGCATTAGGACGCCGACGAATAGTATGCCTATGTGAGATAGACCCAGACGGTTATAGACACAAATTCTCGTACATCCCAATTTCTTGAGACTTTTTTCGAAGTTTTATGTCTCTTAAAATCCGCCGATTTTCGCGCTTTCTTCGCCGCGCATTCTAGATCATTCTGCACCATGACTTCAGTTATTTCACTCAGATTAGAAAACTTAGAAATATCGTGAACTGTACTTCCAAGGGCTTTAGTAGAAAACGTCCACATACCCAGTACAACAGTATGAACCATTGAGCACTTAAACCATTACATCCGAAGAATAGTGACGATGCCACGACAGGATCCAAACCAGCGTCACCAATGAACAATATGGCTGCAAAAGGGTGTTTTTGAATGAGCCTGGTGTATGGTCCAGTACAGTATACATGAAGTTCTTCTGAGACAATTCCATAAAGTAGTAGTAAACAGAGGTGAGTATACTCTGCTGAAACGAGGGCCAGACGGAGAAGGTGCTTTGGTCTTCATTCCCAGTGAAGAGGGTAAAAGAATGGGTTAGCCTGATTACCTACTTCTCTCATCGTCATTCTCTCACTCCCTCTAATAGATAACCATAGATGTGTCTCCCTCCCCACCCATCCCTCTTCACACCTGCCTTTCCCCGTTGTCCCTGGCAGTACCCGTCGGCTGTTTCCGCTAGTGAACCATCTTCCAGTCTCCATCAATGTCGCTCGAACGCAGCCAGGATTTACTCTATTCGAACATTCCAACTGTGGAACCAGAACTTTACTTCTCAGGTCTTCAGTAGATCGATTTCGTTTTTGAATTCTCTCCTACATACACGACACTAGCCTCCTCGACACGACAGTCCTGTTTTCTACCCACATCAGAGTCATGTACTAACACCAACCCAAGAATAACATCACTTACCGAATGAAAATAGACTAGCAATGAACGCCGGTGCGAGATATTTGCCTATATTCGATGGTAGTCGTGGCAATACCGATCGTATAACAAAACATCCTGTGACTTCGAAAGCAAGAGAGAATATGAAGTCCCGCTGAAAACCACTATTGCAGTGATGCCTTTGACAAATAGCATAATCAAAATAAAATCACCTGATGTGTTATAGTACACATATTCTGGCTATTAACAAACATTTCCATATGGGCTTGTGAATACTGTAAGGAATGGAACCACAGCGTCCTGGCGATATGCCATGCAATAGATCCGCCAACGATTTCCGCCAGCAGAAACATCAGAAATCGAGATAACCTGAAAACGCCACAGTGAAAACCCGCTATCACACCCCAAGGTCACGGGTTCGAATTCCGAATCAGTCAAGCAGCTCTTGGAGTCCCTAGGACGCCCTATCTAGGCCGTTTGTGGGCCAGACAACGTCTCAGGTACTATTCTTGAAGGTCACGGATTCATTCTAGGGAAAATTCTATGAACGGAAGTCGAAAGCGGGAGCTCATCCATCAACCGTTACCAGTCAACGCCCAAACACTTTCACAAAAGCTGCGTCCACAGGAAGTATTGTCCAGAAAGCCTCTTGCTAAGCCCACTCGTCCCGAACCATGCCACCGCATCAATCTCTGTTGAGATGGGACTTCCGGGATTTCCTCTTGATGACATCTATCATCCCTTACTTACGCTACAGTGGTTGCAATCAATGATTTCGCGACGGCACGGAAGACAGCAACATCCCTAATTGGGGTAAATCCAATTGATCACACCCCTAGCTTTTGAAGGGAACTCTGCACTGGATCAATCACCTTCTGACGAGTAACCGCTAAGATTCGCTGGGTTACATAAACCAAAAACCCTCATTGACAAACAATAACCTCATTTCGCCATAGTAGAGCAATTCGATTGGCGATAGCGGTGTGCCATAGCTACCTCGTCCAGTTGAACTGAAAATGAATCCAAGCACTGATGTGACGATAAAAAACGATGACACGCCGTAGTGTTGTATTATGACAGCTGAAATAAAGCGACTTAAATTGTGTCGGAAATTTTTGTGCTGAAAACGCGTACTGTCAGTGGGGAGTTATGTACTTCACTCTGGCTATTTCATTCAAAATCATTGGTCATGATGACCCCCACAATGGTCTCTTCTGTTTCATGTGGGTGGGGAAGAACATCAATGGTGAAAGCAAGATGGTCGTGGAGCCCCATTCGCACTAACAGCAACTCTTGCCTTTTCTGCGTTTCTTCACAGTAGGTATACACCTCAGATGTGCCGGAGTGAGCAACCTTCTGCTTTCACCCAGTTCTGCCAGTTTACCAGCCTGACAGAATTATATGGTGGTGACCGGCAACACGCCACACGACTACATCATCATCCTTTCCCTCCTTGTATCTTGCTACTGTCCCTACAGACAGCCCCAAAGCCTCGCTTCCCTAATATCAAGGCAATTTCTGGCATTCGCTTTCCTAATATCGAAGCAATTTCGGGCATTGAAGAACATAGCAGTCTTTAGACTTCAGTCGCATTAGGTCCTTCAGTTTGTTGTAAGCATCGATATCTCCAGACGTCTTCTTCCCGGCTTCACGGATGTGTGAGTATCCGAGCTCGCAGCTTTCCAGTCACTGTCAATTGGTTAGAAAAGAGTCTACAGAGTGTTTGTTGGAGGTCGCTGTGTCGACGTGTCGGTGTGTCGGCATGACGGTGTGTGTATGTGTGTTTGTTTGTTTGTTTGTGTGACAACAAGAAATTATAGAAGTCAGCTACGAGGAACTTTCTTTTGTTTTCCTCTGATTGGAATTTCAGCTGTTTTTTCATTGAAATCGCTCATCATAGATCGTTTTCCCTTTTTATCATTCCATTCAGTTTCTTGCAAAAGATGTGCCAAAATCAAGCATCAACAACAGATTATTAATCATTAAGAATTTCAATAACGAGCCACATACCATTCTCAAAGACACAAGTGCAAATTTGTGCCGTTCCAATCACTTCTATGAGAAATCGATGAAAAGATGACTTTTTCGCGATCGTTCTGTCAAGTATACGTCGAGACAGTTCAGCGGTACCCAACACTGTTCCATAGTAACACACAGCTGCCAACAATGGACCAGCTGAGGTTAAGTCGGGCATTCTCTGAAAAACACAATTAAAAAATGCTGAAGTACAAGGAGGATTACTAGCCGATAATGAAACGAGTCGAATAGTGGCAAAGAAGGAATTCACGACAAAAATCTCATTTACCGTTTATAAACACACAACTTTATCACCGAGTATGAAAGGAAGCGGTTACCCACCTATAGAGAACCATGGAAATTCACAGAAAATGTTCAAAATTTGTCAAATTTCCCACCAATTCACCTCATCATACAAGCGATATTGGCAAATTTTAGTTATTTCTATTACTCTTATTTTGAGCTGTTTAGGGTTTTCACAGGCATGTTCCAAAGAACGGTCGGAATCATATGAAGATCCTCTTCTATGTATATGACTAGCCCGTTCAGAGAAGGGCAGGGGTCAGTGTATAGGCGGGATTTGATATATAGAGAGCGGACATGGTATTTCACCTGTAAACAGGATAGTTAGAAGAACACTGCCGAAGATGGACGAGTTGTCCTTCTGCAATTTCTTATTCTGTCCAGGAAAGAGCAAACCACGGTGAGGCTATCAAAGATTGGTGATGAACAAATAACGACTGAAAACGATTTAGTAATATCTGATATTCTTGAGCGGTAAGTAATTTGGCCATTACTGTACCCTACACAATGCAATACTGAAAATAAAAACGTGACTGGCAACAGAATACTTCTCCACCCGTTCCACGTCTACAAATTTTTTCTACCACCTGTGTCAGTATGTGAACTGATAAGAAGTGACTTGTCAGAAATTGCACGACTCTGTTCGGTGTTGTTTGAAGTAAAGGATTGACACACGGAAAATGCCTTTGATTTCTCTTCGAATTATACTCAACAGTAATTTGACTTTCAGCTTTCCTAGGGAGGCCTACAATTTCTCCCACCTCACCTACCCCCTGCCCGCTGCCCCTCCCTCCCCACCCCCACTTCTTTCATTGGTTCAAGGATACGCGAAAGGGCCATCATCCAAGAAAATCATTCTCAGGTGCCCTCCTTCCCCGGAACATTGGAAGCTTGATTTTGCAGCGGATTGCTACGTTATCAGCTTCAGCTGTACTATAATAAATATATAGAACATTTCAGCTCTTCTCTAAGTAATAAATAAGAACTGTAAGGAATAAAGCTCATTAACTGGGGAGATTATTCTGTGACGGCACGGTGCAAGCCAAAGTAATAGAACGGTCTTCTTTCTTCAATTTCCGGCTATTTGGTGCGAGGTCCGTCTTAAACTTGCTGAGGCTTTTTTTTTNTTTTTTTTTCTTCAGACCAAGAGAGCGTTCACGCCTCTTCATAAAAATAAAGGAATGTAAACGCGTGTTTAGGCTGTAAGAAGAGTGGATTGAGAGGAAAAGAATTCAGCCGACAACAGTCTTCCATTTCAAACACTTCCAGCGGAAATTCTTCGAGGCAGAAATCGAATACATGGCGCAATTAGAGCTAGTGAATGACCGCTGTGTATTTAAATAAAGAGATCAATAGGTTGAACAACCGATGTGGCCTCACCGTGACAGGGAATGGGAAATGGAATGTACTGTAAAGAACGATAAGTATGTCTAGTGCACGATCGAGAACCGTGGAAGAAAGAACGACAGTATGAGAACGCGAGTGATTCGAAAGGAGCGAAAATCGATGACTTTCTGCCATACACAGACAATGGATGATAACAAGGTTTTGGAGAAGGAAACCAAGGCTGTCATAGGCTGATAGCACTGATAAGCCGACCAACGTGATATCAACGGCAAGGACGAGACGGCAGTGACATCACAATGGTCAGAAAAGACCAAAGCCCTCTGTCAGAGAGAAAACGAGACTGATAAGACCAGCTAAAGTACCAATGAGTGACAATATGAGATGGTCAGTGGAGGAGGCAAAATCGATGTCTATCGCTAAATGAGATCTAGCGCTTCAATTTCCTGAAGATTGGATTTGTGGCGTACTCCGGAAGAGCTGGTCCGCCCCAGTCATTTGGGTCATTCTGTATATGTATATAGCGGTAAGTTGGAATCCTGATATGAGCGGATAGATCTGTAGTGTGGAACCGTGGCTTTGACGATTTAAAAAATAATACTTATATTAACAAACATCCTACTATATATAGCGCCCTGGCGTATGTATGCATGTGTGTATGTGTGTGTAACGATATGTGTCGGTGTGTATCTGGTGCCAGTTGTCTGACTAACCGGAAAGTTACAACTCCTGTTCCCCCAAACCTAGTTCGAATTCGAAAGGAACCCAGATGGGATGGTTTGGAAGGGGCACTGATGACAGATGGCAAAAGTGGATTCTATCCATTTGGGGAGGGCGTCAGTTTTTTACTATGGAGCGGACACGAAAGTTCTTTCGTCAGAGCTACAACGTTCAAATTCAGAGCGAACATAGGCGGTTGGAAGAGGACATTGATGGCAAGTGGCAGGACCGGGTAACGGAACTTCTCCCCGATTGCGGCATTCTCCCTTGCGGCATGCGGCAAATGTCACTGCAATCACCGTACTCACCCGCCCTCCGCCAATCGATATGACGCAATATTTTTCGTTGGTCGCCTTTCTTTTTTATTGGTTTTGATCGTTTTTTATCTTTCTTTTTCTTGTTTTTTATGTATATTAGACTTGTTTAATTAGAATGACTCCTCCTATATTAGCGACGATCAATACCGCATTGGAATTGAACGGAACGGCCAGCCAATTCAAATAATTAAAGGACTCCCTACCTCACAAATTGCGCGCTCCAATCTT